GCGCCGCGCCGCCGTGACCCCCGTGTCCACCGAGTCAGACGAGGAGATGGCGCCCGCCAAGCCCCAGCGCCGCGCCGCCGTGACGCCCGCGTCTGCCGAGTCAGACGAGGAGATGGCGCCCGCCAAGCCCCAGCCCCAGCGCCGCGCCGTCGACGACCCCATGAGCGACTCCATGAGCGACGAGACCCAGGAGGTGTCCTGGAGCGGCACCCGGAAGCGCAGGCAAGCGTCCTCCTCGGACTCGGACTCGGACTCCGACTCCGATGAGTCTGATTCATCGAGCAGCGAAGAGTCGGCGGTGGCCAAGAGACAGGCGAAGGAGAAGGACGCCAAGAGGGCGACCGACGAGAGCGACGAGAGTGATGAAAAGGACGCCAAGAAACCGGAAGAGGAGGTGGCCAAGAGGGCGAACGATGAGAGCGACGAGAGTGATGAGAAGGACGCCAAGAAGCCCAAGGACAGGAAGCGGCGTCAGGCCGAGGACGCCATGACCGCTCCGGTCGCAGCGACTGCGGAGAACGCCTCATCCGACGACAACAGCACCCAGACTCTGTAAGTACACCTTCAACACCAGGCCGCTCACTCCCACTCTCGTAGTTGGGCTGTAGTGAGTGCAACCTGGCGTGCAGGTTGCCTATCGCTAGCTCGGACTGTTGGGGATCGTCCAGAGAGAGTACGTCCGATTTTCTCAGATTCATTCGGCAAATTGCGGAAGCTAGGCGCGCCTGCGAGAATAGGGGTAGGCCAGCCCGCAATACACGCATGCAACGCAGGCACGATGTTGCCTGCCTATCAGGCGCTATGAGAGCTCGCATTGGCGGCTCAACTTGGCAATTTCGTGGCGGTGAATGACGGACGTGCTTTCTAGATGATCATCACTAACGCGCCGTGGTTAGAGACGATAGGCAAATCCACCCGCATGTGCGTGCGATACAGCACTTCCAATGCAGACGGGGCGAATCAGCGGCCACATACCCACACGTAGTAGATTACAAGTATTGATTCAAGTCACGCATCCGAAATTCAATTCTGATCCGTTGCTGTCTATCGGCAGATATCTCATCAAGACCGTGACCTACGAAGTCGGCGTCCTGGGCGCGGCAGATGACGACAACTCATCCTTGACGGTCGCCACCCCAAGCCCGGTGTAAGTGCAAATTGTCAGATTGTTTGAGGTACTTCATGCTCTATTCATTATTATTCGGCAGTTATTGTCGAGAAAAATTTGAGTCGAATTTCACCAACAACCGCGTAATAATTGTCATTTTCAAATCGACGATAATCGCCTGACGACTCTGGCGGGGCTGGGTCGCTTCCGTCACTCACGTGTTGTTTGTTTTCTGCCCCGGTGACGCAGGGCGGAGAAGGAGGTGGTGACGATCTACTACGATGAGCCGAACAACGCCACCCAGGCCACGCCCGCCGCGTAAGGCCCTTCGGCTTGCGCCCGTGCCGCTACGGCTCGTGGGCTCCGCAGGCCGGGGCCATCCTGCCGGCCAGGGGGTGCCATCCATGTCACGACCTAAACTACCCCCATGCTGTGATTACTCTAGACTGTAAATATGTAAGAATAATTATAAAACTGCGTGGAAATAATATATAAACTTCGCACCCAAAAAGCGCTCGTCATTATTTTGTTTGTGAGCAAAGCCAGTCATTTTGATGAGTGCGCACGAAAAAAAAGAGGTCGAAAAAAAAAGAGAGCATACAATATCGTAAAAGCTTAATGCGGTCTAGCCAGTTTCGGCAGAACGTTTGTTGTTGAAGCTACACCTTAGGTGTCCGAGCTATGCGCGAGCTGTTCGCCACCCAAAAGAGCTGACGAGTTCTGTATCACAGCTGATGGACGGTCACATGTCCCCCAGGAAGCCATTGCGACGTGGTGATGCCCTTGGCAAGCCCGGTTCGCAACATTTCACGGGAGTGAGCCATCGTCGCACTCCTGCGCTAAGTCGTGCGGACGCCCCGGCCTGCTGCAGGTGACGCGGCGTCGGGCATCCGTTTGGTTTGGCGCTGGGAATTTTTCAGGGATTTAGCGGACGACGAAGGACAGAGACGCCAAGTTTAATTCAGCACGTAATCTACGAGCATTTTATTCTTATACATACAAAAAACGTAACACTATCGTCAAACACCAGTTGAAAAATCTAAGGCGCATCTTTGTTGCTTTATATAAATCTCTTTTATGTAAATAACTTGAAATAATCTTTCACATTTAGACTTGCATTACATAAAGTAATATCACTAAAAACAAAACACAACCGCTTACATTTTCTCCATTCCTGTTCAGGACCAATGCAATCAAAATTCAAGTGAGGAATGGACTTTAATTTCTGACTCATAAGAACGTCCTACTGGGCCTTAATGTCTCTACAATCTTTTGAAGCACCATCTTAAATTTGCAAGGAAAGGAAACTATTACTGATACTGCATCTCAAATAATGTGGCTTTCTATTTTCCGAACAGATTTAAAAATGTTGTGTTAAAAATGCATTGATGTACAGGCAAATGCACATGAACAGTTATTAGGCTTCTCCTTCAAGGCTCTGATTATGAAATTTGTTTTTCCTTGTGGGCACTTCGTTTATTAAAAAAGATAGCCTTATTAACAACACATTTTGGGGGGCTTCGAGAAAGAATGCATGCACGCACCCTTCCGAACGATCGTTCTTAGTCCATCTAAGACATCAGTCCAATCAATAAATTGGCAAGAAGAAATTATCATGAAAATCCTTAATTCACTATACAGTACATCTTAAGAAGAAAAATGCGTCCAATAAGGGCATCAAACGGCCCAGGCCTTAAAGTACTTAAGATTAAAGTACACAATTAATTATTGCAACGCTCATTTGCTAGTGGAAGAAGACTCCAACTTAGTTTAGACTATCACAGAGACCAACATGAAAGAACTTCATTCACAATAACAGAAGAAATGCACTTTCTTCGGGAGCCTCTCGAGTAGAGGCACTCTCCTAATGTGCAAAGTCTAATAAAACATTACATTCAACTTCAGAGTTAGAAAGAGAAAGAAATACTCCTTCTCTGAGCTTATCTAGAGGCCAATTTCACCCCCGTATCCATTTGTTTCTGTAACTGTAGTTCCATCCTTCATTATGAAAAAAATTGTTTAGGATTTGTAAAAGCCTCTAGGACACAAGGTAATCGAATCTAAACAAGAGTATCATTGTCTGCAAGCTCTCCACCTTAGAAAGGTAGCGTAAATACCTGTAAAATCTGCCTACTAAGGCAGTAAAAGATGAATATTTGACTTATTTAGCGAGGAATTTCAATTCTTGCGGCAGGCGTGTTTGAATATTTGTATACATTCACCTCTGATAAAAACACGGTAAAATATTTGACAGGGGTAAATTAATATTTCGAGATGACTAATTATGAAACATTTTCATGGAAGTACGAGAGGAAGAGACGAGTACAAATTCAGAAATACCGTCAGTTAAGAGTATTTGACAGCCTGCAGAATGGCAAATCACAAAATAGAAAATATATCTTACAATATCGCAATAACCCAGGCAATGACCGTCTGCTTCTCGTACGGTATCACCCTGTGCAGTTATCGTTTCCGTCCAAACCTTTTTATCTCCTCCTATTTTGACTAGGATTTTAACAATGAAAAAAACTTTATGCTCGAGTTAATCATCTCCGACGACGAGGAGGGCGCTGACTTCGGGGGCGGCCGCCCGCAGCGGCGGCGGGGCCTTAAACGTCCAAGCACCACGGGCAGGGCACTGAGCCCCCGAGTCGCAATCACAAACGTTTCAAAAGTAAAACGTCCTCCTCCCTTCGGTCCGCCAGTGTACAAAGTCGCTGAGTTGGGTCCCGGGTCGCTGGCCGTGAGCGCGCCGGCCCGCTGCTGAAGGTGCGCCTCGGTTAGGCACTACTTGTCGGCACACTGGAGCAGCAGCGGGGCGGCGGGGGCGGCGGCGGCCAGCCCGGGCGCGTGTCACAGCAGCGCGCACAGCCGGGCGCGCGCCTTGCGGTGCTGCGTGGCGGTGGCCTCGTCGCCGACCCCGCCCCCGAGGCCGCCCCCGCCGCCGGCCAGCGCCCGCACCTTCCTGGCTAGGCCGACGCGGTGCTTGCGGAGCGACGCGCCGTGCCGACCCTCCGAGGCCCCGTTGATCGGCCGCAGCGCCTGACCGTCGCCGTCCTCCGGCTGCGCGCGGTTGAACGTCGTCACGGTCAGCTCGATGTCCTCCACGCGCTCGGACTCCTCTGCGGGGCACAGAAACGCCGGGCAGGACCCCGTCAGCGACAATTCCGGTCGTGTGTGCCGTGTCGCTAGCGTCGAGTACTTATACTCACTGAACTCCTCGATGGGCTTCTCGATGGTGTCGTGGTCGATCCACGTCAGCCCCATCTCCACCTTTTCGGCGAGGTCTTGCCAGTGGCTGCGGTTGGAGGCGCACCCGTCGTACAGGGGCTGGATCCACGGGAAGGTGTCGGCCAGCGTCTGTGGAGAACAGGCGTGTCAAGTCAAGGGATTACGCATTGGCAGCAATTTTTGTTTGTTTGTGATGTTAAGAGAGAGAGAGAGGGGGGGGGGGGGGTTACCTTGTACAACGGCAGGCAGATGACGTCGATGAACCCAACCTGCATCTGCGGCAGCTCGTCCTTGCGCTCCCGGTCCATCATGGCCTGCGCATCGAAACAATTGTTACAGTTACCGCGAACCCTTCGTCTGTGTTACTAGACTAGACTCCGAGGAAGTGAAGGTACTCACGACGGGCTGCTGGTTGAGCTGCATGCGCTCCAGGTCACCCTGGTCGAAGAACTCGTCCGCCACCAGCTTGGCCATCTTGTGCTGGATCTCCCACGGCTTGGCGATGGCGGACACGTCGCAGGCCGTCATCATCATGCCGCACAACACTGTCGGGAGGGCGAGGAGTGCGTGAGTAAAGGGACAATAGCCTCAAGAAAATAACTGGAGTACTCGTGGGTGGTCGAATAAGTATCGTCGAAGTTATTGGTGAAATTTGGCTGAAGAGTCGAACTTCAAAGTCAACGTCCATAAACTTCGGTAGAAGGTCAGTTTAAAAAGAAACGTGTACTCCGAAGTTGATGCCGAGTTCCCATTGCTACGAGAGAGATGGTCGCTTGGTAACTCCTCCCCCCTCTCCCCCAAAGGGTAGGCATTCTCCTCCCTCAGACTGCGCCGCTTCTGCCTACCCCAGAGGTGCCCCTGCGCCCGCGCAGGACATCAGCAGGAAGCCTGGCCGAGGGCAGCCGGGGAGCTCTCCGGGGGGAATAGATCTTTTAAATTCTCGTCTGATAAGCGCAAAAGTATACAGCTCTGCTGTCCGTAAAGAGAGGTAAAGAACGTCTCCGGGGAGTCAGTCTAGTCAGTTGGCCAACAAAGCAAACCCTCTCTCCGAGTTTGCTCCCCCTCTCTACCCTTTATAATCCCCCTCCCAGAAGCGACTTACGGTCTTTCTTGGACTCGCTCTGCCAGTCGAATTCGCCGTTGTCGACAAGCTCCTTGAACGAGTCTTTCTTCTTGAAGTACATGGCCAGGTCGGTTGAGAGGATGGCGTTCTCGACGGTGCGCATAACGGCGCGGTAGTCGTTGGTGGACATGGCCTCGAAGATGTTGTTGCCTTCGCTGTTGAGGATCATGACGCACTGGTCGAAGTGATGGTGCTCCATGGTGGACGTGGAGTAGAGGATGGCGAGCGGCGACTCCGTCTTCGCCTGGAACGCGTTGTTTGTGCCCCTGTGGTCCAGGTCGTGGCACAGGCATGCCACCAGCAGGCCCAAAATCTGATAGACGGCACAAACATAACGTTCAAGATTACAAAGGCTGCACATCATTTTTTTTTGTATTGCTTCACTGAATCCGTAATGAACTGTGAGAAGCAGTCACCTCGAGGTCCGTCATGAAGCGCTCCATCTTGCCCGTCTTGAGCATGGCAAACATCGTCTGCGCCACGTTGAGGGCGTGTCTCCAGTTGTGGTACTTGACGGGCCGGTAGTTCTTCTTGACGCTCAGCACCCAGCGGCAAAGCACCTAAACGGGCGACAAAGGTGAGCAGTGACTCTTCTCCTTGCCGGCGCCGGCCCTTTGCCTGCTCGCTGCTGCCACCTACCTGGTACGGTATCTGGAACTGCTTGACGAGGTTGCACTGCAGGAACATGCGGATGGTGGCTCGGCACGTATCCTCGTCCGATAGCTCGAAGTCGACGAACGTAAAACTGAAGAGTGGACGGAAAATGATTCGTTTTAGAACAGCTCAGGAAAGACGCACAGGATTCCCAGTAGTAGCCTCGATGACGAGTACCTACCTGTACAGGTTGAAGTGTTCGGCGGACGGGATCGCCTCCTCGCTGAGCCGAGCCGTGTCGTCGTTGGAGGCGGTGGCGTGGTAGGACAGGCACTCGAGGGCCACCTTCTGCTTAGCCATGAGCTTGCACGCGTTCTCGTACATCTGCGTGTTGTGAATGCCCAGGCCGCAGAAGATGGCGAACGCCTCGAAGATGGTCACGTCGCAATCCGAGAAGGGCTGCCCCGACCCCTGCAATAAAGCGAGCAAGCGACCAAGGGCGCGGTGATACTTAGAGAGTTTGTCTTGACCAACTGGGAATGGGAAATAAACGAGGAAATGTCCAACTGTTGGGGTGAGGGCGAATTCTGAATTCATTTGGATGGTAACGATGAATATTTTGTGCCGATATTTCACACTAGGAGCCATGGCAGAGCGCCTGCGAAGTTTGGCATAGGCAGACCCGCTGGGCTCGCCTGCATCGCGGCCCGAGAGATTGCCTACCTCGCCGGCGCTCTCGCCTCACGGCTGGCAGAGCAAAGCGCCTGCAGAGCTCGCGTAGGCAAGCCCGCCGCGCACGCGTGCATAGCGGCCCGACGGGTTGCCTACCTCGCCGGCGCTCTCTCGCCTACCCACACAGTCGCGCTCGCTCTCTCGCCGTCTCCTCTCACCGTCCGTCAGTCGCTCCGCCTACCTTGTTGATGAGCTGGGCGACGCCGATGACCGTCTTCTGGCCGTTGAGGATGGGCATGCAGAGGATGGCCCGGGTGACGAAGCCGTCCATCTCGCGCACCTCCTGGCTCATCCACGAGGACACGTCGCCGATGTTGAGGATCTGGCCCGTGGCCGCGACGTACTTGGCGATCTGCGCCAGCCGGCTCTGCTTCTGGTCGCGGCTGGTGGGCCGGTACACGAGCGCGTCCTCGTCCTTGGCGCGCAGCTCGAACACCGTGTTGAACACGATGTTCTGCAAGCAGCACACAGCGACACGTCGTACACTTTTCGTCCATAGCGGGAGGCATACATAATGGTCCGCGCTGCTGACCCCCCGCCCGCGAGACGGAGTAGGAGGGGGAGGGCTCCGCCGGGGCCGGG